GAGATACCAGTCCCGGCTAAATGAACAGCCTCATCTTAGCTCTCGGCTATCAAGATCTAACGGTCATTCCCTAACCACCACTCCGATTGCACATTGCCCAGCTCAGGTCTGCTTAAGTTTGTAGTGACTTATCCGGAATACGAACTGCAACACTTAGCCTTGCTACGTCACCCCGCAGCCATCATCTAACACTTGTAGCAAAGACAACTCGTGGATATGACTCATCCGCACTATTTGTTCGTGTTGACCAATCTTCTCTCGCCATTGCATCAAGCCTACCTTGGACCTATCAGATCATGACCCTTTGAACCAATCAGAAGACAGCATTCAAACCACTCCTGCCTTTAGTCTGAACTGAGGCAGCGACGCCGGAGTACTTTGCGCCCAGCGTCTCCTCCTGAGCCCCGCCGCCCTCGAGGCTGCCGACTCTCGTCGATGCCACTTCCGCACCATCGTCGTTCGCCGATCTCTCTCTCTCTTTCGCCCTCTTCTGCATCAGCAAAGGTCAAACTCGGTCCGTCCTTCCTTCAAGAAAGACCACATTCAGCCGGCGCCTATCTCCCAGGCAAGGTCTTTCAAAAAATCTGTCGTTACGTCCACATCCACACGACAACCGTTGCTCCGTAATAGCAGGGCCACCTTCAAATCGACGTCGCCCATCCACGTTGGACTTCTGCGGCGTCCTGAACATTGGCGTCTTCACGTTGGCAGCACAACTGCAGCAAACTTTCTTGATCACTTTGCTCCAGCTCAGTCTTCTCCATCCGACCTGCTCATTGCGTCTTCTTCGTCAACACACATGCAACCACTTAGCTTTGTACAACTTCAACACCACATTCTACAGTCTTTTCTCTTCCATTAGATTGCAGGCTACGCCTCGAGGTCCACCTCTTCTCGAATGTGTGGTCGCCGGTCCTAATAATTTAATGAGCCTGGCAAGTGCTTTTCGTTTATAAGTAGTAAGTAGACCAGTAGATCAAATATTAGGTGTATTCATACTATTTCGTTTAGTGTGATAAGGGGACTGGTAGTTGAATTTTTCCACATTGATGTGAGTAGACATGACGTTCCCATCGTTTTTCACATAGCCTTGCCTCCCCAAAAGGTATTCTCATCCAAGCAGGAGTGGATTGCAGCTTCGAGCTCGCCTGGGTCTTATCAACCTCCCACACGGGACTCGAACGATGACAGCGTCGTAGGAAATAACACTACCACATCGACTATCCAACCACAGAATGTGATACGGTAAAATACATGGCCTTACTTGGATTTCTCATCTGCCCTGTGACCCTAGAGCACTTGTGGCAGTGTTAAGTGGTGATAGATATGTCGCGATTACACGCTGTACTATCGTGGTTCGACTCCTACTGGGGTGCTGATAAGTCCTAGGTAAGAGTGAAACTACAGTCGAGCTTGGGGAAGAAGACCCTTTGGGAAAGCAAGACTGTGTGAAATTCAATCGAAGCGTCAGCCCTACTCATATGCTAGTGGGAAAATTAATCTACCACCTTGAACGAAATAGGGTGAATGCACGCAATATGTGTCAAGTGTGACTGGAATTAGAACCATGACCAAAAAGAGACTGGATGACTTGCTTCCCTTGTATGGGCCTTCTCTATCCTTGAGTCCATCAATTGGGCTTAAGTGAATCTTACATTTCGTCTTAACTGCATTCCTGACGTTCATTGAATTACTAATTCTATTGGTTTCGATGGCCCCTCCTATTTTGCGCCGAATTAAGGGCATAAAGCAATCAACGAAGTGATATGACCGAATAAATTATATCCCTTTCTTTCTCTAAAAGTTATTATAGGCCTATCTAGTTTGTGTTCTTTCATTTTGAATGCTTATTCCGTATACGGGAAAATTATCTGTTTTTTTAACTGTAAAATATTCTTCATCTTAAAGGGCATTCTTTCCTAATCAAGCCTGAAGGATAGTTATTTTTGAGTAATATTTGTTTCGGCCTATATTGCTCAGTATCCCAATGGCCTCTATGGAAATTAGCACAACTTGCACCACATTGAACGTCAGCTATGTCGGTATGAAGGGAGGAGGTAAGAATCAGTTGTTTAAATGCTAGGCTTGAGGATGGAAAAGTGTTAAGTCGCCTACACGAAAGAAGCGACAAAGCCTGTCTCTTCGGTCCTACTTTTAATTGGATCACAATTGCTGTACACCTGGGCTCACACACATGACAACAGATCGTCCTCTTGTCCAGACGTTTGCTTGCTATTACTGTATCAGTGCTGGTTGAAAAAGAGTAACTAAGCCTTAAGTACTGGTATTCGTTAGCTTAAATAAGATGAAAGACTCATACAAACGTACTAGGGATCAGGGCTTAAGACACTTTCATCTGAATAAAACGGGATTGCCTCGGCCTCAGTGTCAAACTGAATGTCCCTGTAACGCCAAACAACAGGTAGCCTAGAGGAATCTTCCGTGCCTCGGTGGGACTGACTTTCGTATCTATTTATCACATATTTCCACTCGAAATGGCAGTGGACGAAGAAGCATTTTTCATCCATGCAATAAGTCCTTCATCCTAACTACACTTCCTTGCTATAAATGTAATACACTCTTCTGCGAATTAAAGGCTTATCTTTGATCCACTTTAATGTAAACATGTCCTTTATACTCAGTTAATATGAAACTGCCCATGATATTTACTTCCTGAAAATCCCTCATGAGGTCACATGCTCCTCGGTATTTACTATTTTAGATTCCATTATATGCTGATAAAGATTATCACAAATTTTGAACTAAAGTAGTCAAGTAAAACTCGGGAATTCTTTGTGAATTGTTTAGTTTACAATTTATACCGCACTACTAAAAGGTTTTGCCCCTGACCTATATTTGGCTCAATGTTTGTATATCTAGCTAACACCACATTCGGAATGTATATACAAAGAGCTTCTTTTCACTGCTGCTACTTAACTTCGACGTTAGTACAGCGCAGCTTGAAGCCACGGAGTTGCAGATTGATTGTTTTTGCTAACTGATTTACTGCTTCGCTTGGCCCCTGTCTAAGTAATTTTGCCCCACATTTTCCCATTGGCAGCAATGAAAATATACATAATATTAAATCTTCAAATTGAAAATCTCTTAAATGAACTGTTAAATGGTCATAAGATAAGTCGTCCTGTTGTTCACGTTGCTTGTTCCTCAGTTCATTTCCGATTGTCCTTCCCAGGTACTTCAGCTGATACCTAAACGATTATAGTTTAGCCGTTCTTTTCGTGTGTTGCCTACACCTGTTGTATGGACCGGGCCTGGTGACACCAAAGTTATTGCAAAACATATTTAACTGGAAACCGACCTTCAGTTTCCAGGTTATGATATCTCGAGGAGATCGCAGTTGCTCTGAATAAACGGCGAGGCAAAACTTGCCTACTAATTTGTCTTGGATTAATCTACTATGGAACCTTAAAACATTTAGTGGCATAAAGCGTGATCAGCTACAACTTAAGGGCTTCAATTGGACAATGCCAGAGGTGACAAGACCCAATGAAGGAACTGGCGAGTGCATCTGTGGCCATGAAGCTATTAATAGGACTGTGACTGTAGTGTTTTACTGAAGTAAGGTGTAACAGATGCATGGAGGATGGGCTGGTAGAAGTTATATATATATACATGCACATAAATACACTCGCATGCATATATACATATATATAATTGAGATAAAATTACATGTTTCAGCTAAGCTTTAGGTGTGCATAAATTGGCATGAACTCTACAGGACACAAAAGTAAATACAACCTTTGAATATAAATGCATGATCACTATTTATTTATTCTGTACCGATTCAAAATATGTAAAAACGAACATGTCATTAATTAAATTTTGCAAAAAAAATGATCTTAGCAAAAGTTAATAATGCCGATTCTGACGTATTGGTCACAATTGAAAGTTATATAAATAGAATTATATGTTTCCTAATAACTGCTTGAAAAATTAGGGAAAAAACTGTCGAGGATATTTCTACTACAATAATACCCCCTATCCGATCCGTGTTTGCTAAAACGGAGCAAACATTTTTTTCTAAATTCCGCATTTCGGCTTATTTATACTCGAACTGGATGGCTGCAAAAAATATAAAACTTTTGGTACAAAAGTCAAATAAAGGGGAACCCAAATGTGTGCTTCTTCACCAAAGCAGTCCAACATATGAGTCTAAGGATGTCGAATTATCCGTTTTAAGGAATGTTACACACTTCAATAAAGTTTTTGGCTCTAACCCAAATTGCTTAGTGACGCAAGTCTTATATGAGATGTATTCACCCTATTTCGTTTAAGGTAATTAAGGGCTGGTAATTGAATTTTCCCACAATGACATGAGTAGAGCTAACGTTTCTATTAACCACACATGGCCTTGCTTTCCCAAAAGATGTCCTCATTTAGACCGAAGTAGACCGCAGTTTCGACCTCGCCTAGGTCTTATCAACACCTTTGGCGGGAGTCGAGCCATGATAGTGCAGCATGTAATCTCGACACCTTAACCACTACGCCACATTAGCACGAGTGTCCTTGGGGCGCAGGGCAGATTTGAAGTTCAAGGAAGGCCAGGTGTTTTTTCATATCACATTCCTCGGTGGAATTGTCGATAAGGCAAAGTTATATTTGCTATAACAATCGAATGAATTACTTATTTTTCGTTTAATAGTAGGGTTTCGAGCCTACCAGTATATCATATACATGAGATGTTCTTAGCCTCACTCTAGACAAAGTGATGATATAATCGTTTTACTGGTAGTCTCGTAAGCCTACTTCTAAACGAAAGACATAAGTCTCGCATTGGAGACAAGTTAAACTGATCTATGAAAATATCGTATCTGCAGAAAAATACGATAGCCATAAGTAGGAGTAAATTAATTATTTCTATTTAACTAGTACTAGTACTTATGCGGTCCAATTTAAGCCACAACTTTTGGATTAACTTCCATTCAAACTTATTTACGTATCCATTTTTATATTTTAGATATAAAGGTCAAGATGATGTGGCCTTCCGTTTGGTCGCAAACTCCTTTAACTTTACAGTGATGGTTTGACCTCGTTTTCGCTACTTGATTGGAACATCAAATATTTGAGGGTTTTTTCCCTTACTTTCTTCACTAAATATTCCCATGGTAATGTGCCAAGTCCGATGCTAGAAAGTATAAATACTATGGCAGAGGACACATGACTAGGTACGTCCCACAAGGTCTCCCTGATTCTCCGACCAAGTTGCGAAAACGAGGTCGAACCAACAATTTCTTTAGTCTAGTAAATGTTAGCAAACCCTTGTACCTGTAATTAATCCTATTTGTTTTATTTCGGGGTATGCTATTTTCTTCTCTTAGTTTATAAGGATGTTCCTTGTGAAAAATATTTATTTTACTTTTAAATAATTGTTCACATTTTTTAATTCAGCTATGATCATCCATTCATTCTGGCAGGCCAAGGAACTGTGGCACTTGAGGTTCTGGAGCAGGTGCCTAACCTCGAAGCCATTCTTGTTCCCGTGGGGGGTGGTGGCTTGCTAGCCGGCTGCGCAGTTACTGTTAGGGCACTTAGCCCGCAGGTCAAGATCATCGTAAGCTCTATATGCTTTTCAACAACATAGATAACATTTCATGGACACCCATCTCTCTAAATTGGCCTCAGCAAATAGTTCGAGAAAGTTAATAAATTGCAAATATAAAGTTTTACTCCGAGATTAGGTTTTTTGCATCTAAAACCCTATCTACTGATGTATCTAGTTTTGAGGAGGGAATGGGTATCGACATACTCTTAGGAGGGATACGCCTAAGGTTGAGATACTAGGCTTCAACGCAAACCCAACCATTTGTGACAATGGAGTGGCAGAAAATATTAACTGGTAGAGCATAATAACTAGACAAGATCTCGAAGTAATGAAACTGATTGTATAAAGTAAACTAGGAATAAACGAGGTGATTTCTTTGAAGCCTAAGAGGGCTCGTGCTCATCTAAGTATGTTTAAGGCTCTCTAGAAAAGGAGTTAGGATCGAGCGTGAGTAAATGTGATGGTGTGCACTCAAAAGAGCAAGTTGTAAGTTTCTAAGAGTGACAAATTGGATCATTCTCGCTAGGATAGCTGCCATTTCCTGGAATGCGCTTCGGTGGCCAACTGGATTTATGTT